GTGGCTTAGTGATAATATAAAGTGGTTGATTTTTTAGTGTTCCGGGTTCAAACTTCCTTTGGAACGAAATAGTATTCTAAAAATTGATTTCAATTATAGAGGAAGATTATGCGGTGAAGGAAGTTTATAATTCCCAGATTCATTAAAAACACAACTGAGGGAAAAAATAGAATAATTTTGAGCAGAAATCAGATTAATTTAATTAGTGGCAGACAATATACATGAGAGAAAAAAAAATATTATAATTAGAAGATACTTAAGAAAATTGATTCGTATCCCAATAAGAAGTTTGCGATAGATTTGTTGAGAGGCGTCTTGTCTTTGGTCAGACGAGTGTTACAATATTTACAAAACAAATTGTAGAAACTATTTTAAAAATATATTAGCTGTCGATATGTTGTTAGAGTGACAGAAAATTTTAAGTGCTTTAACTTCAAACGGATTTTACTAAAATCAGAATGATTTATTTTATGAGAAAAAGGAATTTTTTATTTTCTATTAAAATGGGTTTATGATGAGGTTTATATAAATAGAAACCTTAAAACAAAAAGTATTGGACTCAATTGCAATTCTCTCCTAATTAATTCTACCTAAAATTTCTTAGTTTTGACCAGAATCCACTGCGGTTCATGCAAAAATACAGATTAATTAAAGCATGTTCGTGTATTAATTTATACGAGAGTTACTAACTAATATATATATATATATATATATATTATGCTAATTTTGTATGATTTACAAATAAGTAATTTTGAAACATTTGGGGTTTATAGTAGATAGCAAATGGAGTTTTAAATTATATTGTAACGCATCATTTACAACAAAAATTCATAATTTAGATAGTTATAATCAATTAATGATTATTAGTAGTTGAAAGAGTTATCTTCGAATGTGGGGGTGATGGTTCGAATCTTCGACGTCAATATTAATTATGGTTGACTATTCTAAACGTTTTAAGAACCTCAAATTTTCTACCTTAGTATTATATCAGAGAAAGACACTTTTGGTCTCCTCATTTTTAGTTTGATCCACTGACATTACAGTTAAAACTTAAAAAAAGTTTCTCGGAAAAACAATACGCAACACTTCATCAAAAACAAAAAAAAAAAAACAAAACAACACTATCTAGAGCTTGTGTGGAGATCAAGACGCATTTTCTCTGCAACCAAAATATCAAGTCCCCTTCTACTTATACGATTAGATATTAGTTATTTTTAATTTAAATTTTAACCCTAATATTAAAAAGGCTATTACGTACCGCTCATGTACACGATTGGGCCCAAGTTGTCGTGACTAGGTCCAGGAGTCTTATTTGACCAGGTCCAGGAGTCTTATTTGATCAGGTGCAGGAGTAAGTTCTTAATTTAGTTTACATGTCTTTCTTTATTTAAACTCGATAAAGTGTTTGAAACTTTTTTTACATTTTCTCTTGTTTCTTCTACTTTCACCATTTCATAGTAAATTCGTAAATATAACCGTCAAGTAACTCATTCATCCGATGTTTTAATGAGTCTGAAGTATGACATTATTTCAATTGAATAAATTAGAATGGTAGAATAATTCTATGCTTAAAATAAATTAATCTCTGATTTATACCTACAAAATAACTACTCAGCAAATAAGATCCAATAGTCTGCTACCTTTAGTTTCTTTATCTTTTGTTACGTCTTCTGTTTATATAATATCAACATTTTGGCCTTTTTCTTCATCTAGTCTTTTTATATTGTACAACTTTATATTCAACCTTTTGTAATTTGGAACGTGGGCTGCTAGTAGTTTGTACAAATTGTAATTTTTTAGAAATAAAATGAAGAGGGGTCTTATTTTGCGTAATTATAGAATTTGCTTTCGGCTCTTTTCCGTTGGAGAATAGAGTAGGAATCAGTGTCTAATATTACAGTGTAAGTTAATCTTTTTTTTATACTTCGTATCAGTTATTATTGACCCAGCTTTATGTGCATGTTATATAATGTAATCAAAGACCATGATAATCCTTTTTAACTTAAAGGGGTCTTTAATATATGTTTTGCATGCTTGAAGCCATTACCTTTGATCATTACTTGGCAGTTTCCAATTTCCACCAAAACCTTCGGAGAATGCATGCTACAAAAATGAAATTGCGTTTTTACCCTTTTACTTTCCACGAAACTTTTGATAGTTTTATTTTTTTCTTAAATCGGGAGGAACAAAACTTATATGGAAAAACATTACTTTTTTTTTGGTTAAAGTATGGAAAAAATTTACCACTACACTATCTAGTTTGACTTCAGTACAGCTTATCATATACATACAATGCATTTTTAATATTTATGATGTATGATTCATATGATGTGTTTTTTTTTTGGATAAAACATGATATGTATTTTTTTGCTAACTCTTTTTTCTTCTTCTTTTTTGTTAAGAGTTGCTTGTATTAGTAAAATATATACTTGTAAAGAAATGTTTGAGCTATATATAGAGAGAGAAAATTGAGGACGTGATATCAGTTTTACGAAACCTCCCCAACTCCAACTCTCTCTCGATCAACCTCTAATCTGTCCACCGCTAATTTACCATTTGTATCATCGCTAATTAATTAATTATATGGGTTTATAGTTTATCCATCTCTTCCTAAAGTAATCCTGAAAATTTCAAGTGGAGGCCAGTAAATAATCCGAATAATAAAAGATTTAATTAATCCAGATACAAAATATACTTAATCAAAAGTCTTGATCTTAAAGTTGCATGAGTGTTCACACCTACCATACCTATTAAGCGACGTATTTTAATCACTGCTCTTTCCTCTTTTCTTTTTGACAAAACAAATTTTTTTTTTTTGGAAATTGTTAAGATTTCATACCAGCTTTTCAAAACTTTACAGAGATGTGGATAAACCACTTAATAGAAGAAAGACAGGAGGGAGAGAGACAACACAATTTTTTCTAGAGATGAACATGAATTGATATCTGGTTATTTATCAGTGTTTCAAAAAAAAAAGGTTATCTATCTGCGATTGACCTGCTACTCAATTTAAATTTTTCTTCGCTCTAGAATACGGATATATATATATATATGATTTTCGATAAGATAATTCTCGTAGTGCTTTCAGCTAGATGGATTGAGTCTCAGGTATCATGTATAAATTTTTAACTCCACGCGTGCCTCTAAATTTCATTCGTACATGGTCCAGATCAATTAAAACCGTGAACTCATCATCCTTTAGAATGAATGATGAAAATGATTTTATTAAAATATAGATCACTAAACTTTAAATCGAGTTCTACGTACTGCTAATTACAATTCAATCTAATAATTAGTAGTAAATTTTTCTAATTCATGTACGAGTATCAAAGTCACTAAATGATCAATGCCACTAATTCATGTACTAGGCCCACTACTGTCTACGCCCTCCTATGGCCTTAGCAAAAATTAGGCAGCAAGAGAGGTTGAAACCATGCTTTGAAATATATATTGTATTTTTTTCTTGTTTATATATATGTATATATTTTCTTAGTATAAACTGTATATACTATAGAAAACCAACTCTTTTCGCCCAAATTTTTTTTCACATAAGTTCATACACATTCATGGAGACATACCAATTTATATCGAAATTTCTGGGTGTAACGCATATCCAATTAATAATAGGAAAGAGAGAGCAGAGGAACGTGGCGAACACATACTAAAAGAGTCTCAAGCACATACACATGTCAGGTTCTGACTTCTAAGAAACATACTTGTTTGATGTACAATCATATGCTCACTTTGCATTACATTTTTCAAACTTCACACTCTTTAACTCTTATCCCACCATTTCTGAAAAGTCACAATCTTCATAAACCACTTACGATCCACTGACTCAACGAATACGCCAACTCAAGCGCGCGTGACTTTCTTGATTCTACATGGCTTGAGTGTTTCTTCATAAAGCCACATCGACGCTTACTTTCTTTCTAATTAAATTGGCTCAAATGTGTGTTTTCTTCGCCTCTCGGACCTATAAAACTAAGTTATTAAGTGAGCACAACTTGGTTGAAATGTTAAATAGTTCGTGCTATATTTTTGTCGCAATTACAAAAAAAAAATCTTAATTAAGAAATTAATGCTAGTAGACTAGTGTACAGTCTTTTTTCAACTAGAGATTACCGAGTGTATAATCTTTAGAGTTTTTTTTTTCAAATTCAGTCTAAAAATACTGAAGCATTACTTGATGTAACAATGGTTTTTTATTGAATGAATTTTATATTAAATTAAAAAAATACTCTTAAACTAACATGTTTAGTTTCTACAAAATAGCACGTAGGATTCTTCGAATTTGGGTTCAGTCTCACAGAAACAATACCCTTCTCTAGTTTAAAAAAAAAAAAAAAAACAATACTCTTCTAAACATTTTCAACTGGTTACATACACAAAAAGTTAAACATTTTCACGCGACTATTTAGTAGTATAATGAAAATTTTCTATTTTTGAGATCAGTCTATACATTTAAAGTTTGTAAACATTTTCATTTGTCAATAAGTTCAATTTGATATACTAGAAAGAATCTTGGTTAATAGGTACTGGATCAATGTCACGAATGTGAATGCCAGTGGAATAAATTAGTTACGGTTCGCACATATTTATCTGCTTTAATCTTTTTTGGAGATAAATGCCTGCTTTAATTTTTTTTGGAGATAAATGCCTGCTTTAATCTTTTTTGGAGATAAATGCCTGCTTTAATCTTTGATCCCAAAACTGTAAAAAGTCTATAATTTTCTTGTCATATGGAAAGAGTTTTTTTTGGTTAACAAATAATTGCTACGTTTATTAACCAAATCCCGTTCCTACGTACCAAACGCAAAACTTCCACTTATATTTTTATTTTTCAAATAAATAAACGACTTTCTATTCATTAAATAAAAATAAAAATAAGACTGTCATATTCTGGTTTTACTAATTAACATATATATTATAAAAAAAAACAGAAAAGGACCACATTTGCCTATAAAAACGAAGTCCTTCTATGACTATATTCTAAGAACAACAAGAAGCACAGAAAGAGAAAAAGCTTTGTAATTGAAAGACCAACAAGATCAGAAAAAATGGCTAAGGCTTATTCAGCACGTGTCCTCACGTTTCTGATATTGATCTCGTTAATGGTGGTGGCACTGAATCTTCTGTCAACGGTAGAAGCACAGAATAAGAAAAAGCCGAGGAGAGGCGATGTTCCTCTAGTGAAAGGTCTCTCATGGAACTTTTACCAGAAAGCATGTCCCAAAGTCGAAAAAATCATCAGAAAGGAGCTCAAGAAAGTCTTCAAGAGGGATATTGGTTTAGCCGCAGCCATCCTCCGTATACATTTCCATGACTGCTTCGTTCAGGTCTATCATCTTTTTTCCTTCTTTTCTCTTTATTCTTTTTCGGGTATCAAAATCTAGAGAGAAACATAAATTATTGATGTTCTCTAAACCTAATCTAATCACTTCTACGTATGTGATTACATTTTTTATTTAGTTTGTTAATTAAGATAAGAAACCATCATTTAGCAAAAAAAAAAAAAAGATAAGAAACCATATGCAAGTATACCCACACAAATATAAAAGGAACCGCGTCGTTTGTCCGAAAAAAAGGAGAAAAATGAATTTTGTAAAATCATAAACAGCCTAGTGGCCCTAGACTATTATTTTACTTTAAAATGTTGTCACGTGCTGAAATGATCCCGACCGAAATAGCCTAAAGAAAAATCATAACATCGCCTTGAAAGTCTTACGAACATAGAAATAAGGTTGTCAACTTGTCCACTTCTCTCTTCTCTTCTTTTTAGAAGAAAGCTTTTCTTAGTGTAAAAGTGTAAAAAGTATAAACACTAGTTAAATGACCAAAAGATATTATCGAATTGTATTGTTGAACTAGATTACACCCTTCTTTTCTAATAGTATAGATGTACAAACACATGCACTAGGATAGGCTTGAATACAGTAGGGCAGTCGCATTAAATACTATTTACCCGCTTTTTGTGGGTTAGTTGAGTCTCTTTTAATGAAGGTCGTCAATATCTAAAATAAATGAATTTCGACCCAAGGGTTCAAAACATAAATAAAACGAATAATAGAGATGTCCCAATATGTTTGCCAAAAAAAAAAAAAAAACGAATAATAGAGATGTCCCAATTATTCTTTTCGTTTGGGGTTAAAATATAACAGAGGATGGATAGTATACCCTTATTAATCTATTAGTATAAAATATGCATGTACCTATTTAGAATAATTATGTATCCAATTTATTAAACAAAATATTAGATACAGTATTCCCCTTCATACTACTGTCAGGTATTTTTTAGTGTTACTTGCAACACCTCTTACTGAATCGTGGCATAATCTGATCAGAAACATAACTATCGAGGAAAATCTTGAATATAGTGTTTCATTTATTGCTTTCATTTTGAGAATAAACGACAAATAATAATAAAAATAAAAAAATAGGGATGTGAAGCATCAGTGCTGCTAGCTGGATCAGCGAGTGGACCAGGAGAACAATCATCGATCCCGAATCTGACACTACGTCAAGCCGCCTTTGTCGTCATCAATAACCTCCGTGCTATCGTCCACAAGCGTTGCGGTCAAGTCGTCTCTTGCTCTGACATCCTCGCTCTAGCCGCTCGTGACTCCGTCGTCCTTGTAAACCAACTCTCTCTCTCTCTCTCTCTCTCTCTCTCTCTCTCCAGTCAAAACTCTATTTATGTCTTTTTATACGTTACGCACATTTTCATATTTATTATATCTTGGAAAAATTACGGCAACTTTAGTTTAAAGTATAAACCAATACGATATATTATAATTGATATATTTTTTTTTTTTACCAATGTAGTCAGGAGGGCCAGACTATGCTGTGCCACTTGGCCGACGAGACTCACTAGCGTTCGCAAGCCAGGACACGACGTTAGCTAACTTACCGCCACCATTCGCTAACGCGAGCCAGCTCATCACCGACTTTGAAAGTAGAAACCTCAACATCACCGACTTAGTTGCGCTTTCCGGTGGTCACACCATCGGAATTGCGCATTGTCCGTCTTTTACGGACCGGCTCTACCCGAACCAAGACCCAACCATGAACAAGTTCTTCGCCAACAGCCTCAAACGCACGTGCCCCACAGCGAACTCAAGCAACACGCAAGTGAACGACATAAGGAGCCCTGACGTGTTCGACAACAAGTACTATGTTGATCTCATGAACCGACAAGGGCTTTTCACGTCCGACCAGGACCTGTTCGTGGACAAGAGGACACGTGGTATTGTGGAGAGCTTTGCGATCGATGAGGATCTGTTTTTTGATCATTTCACGGTGGCGATGATCAAGATGGGTCAGATGAGTGTCTTGACGGGGTCACAAGGAGAGATTCGCTCAAACTGCTCAGCAAGAAACGTTGATAGTTTCATGTCTGTTTTGGAAGCAGGAATAGTCGAGGAAGCTCTTTCCATGATCTAAATAAAACCATATAATCTCGACTCTTCTTTTCTTGAACTTTTTTTTTTTTTTTTTAGTTCGAGCACTTGTGGTTCGTGGAATGCTTTAAGACTATATGATAAATAAGAGCGTTGCTTCATCTTAACTTTGTTTTGTAGTTTCAAGCCCTTATGGTTTGTCTATTATCTGATCTGATCTGATACATAAAAAGTATTGCTCCATCGTAATCATAACAAACTGAGGAATAAATACATTTTTTTCTCAAAAAAGAAGAAGAAAAGAAACACATATTGTAGAAGAAAATATTTACGAGATTTAACTATTATCTATATGTATAGAAAAACTGAAGATTTAATTCCATTTTACAACTACAAGACTATTAACAAGAGTAACAGGTAAAAAAAAAAAAAAAGACTATACGTACGAGGAATTAAAACTAGCGGGCTGAATTAGTCTATTTAAAGTAGGCCCAATAAGACAGTGACCCATATTTTAACCGTCTAAAGCCCAAGTTTTGGTAATCGTTTTCTTCAGGCTTCAGGGTCAACGGTTTAATGTCCCTTCCTTCTTCCCTCCCATTGTTTCTTTTTTCCCATCCCAGCAATGGTGGAGCCCCGGAAACCCGCCACTGCTTTAACGAATTAATCAGCAGGGAAGTGAGAGAAGAAAGAGAAAGAAAAAGAG